ATGGGTTTTCCTTTGAATGTGATCTGCTTCTTTTCTCTAGTGGCTTTCAGTATATTATTCTTGTGCTCATTTTCTGGGATCTTGACTATTATATGTCTTGGTGTGTTTTTCATTGGGTTGAAGTTACTTGGCGTTCTGTATGCTTTGATTAACTGTATGGCGGATTGTTTCCTCATATTTGGGACGTTTTCTACTATTATTTCTGCCCATATTTTTTTAAATGTCATTTGTATTGACTCCTTTCTCATTGATGCCTATTAGTTTTACATTGTTCATCTTTGCATCATCTTGCAGGTGATAATTTTTTCCTGCCTCCTAGTTGTTTTTAAGAGATCCTTTCACCTTTTCATTAGCTGCACCAGCATCTTCAAGATCTGAAACTCTGTCTTCACTTTTACTTAAACAGTTTTGCAAGCTTGTGACTGAGATTTTAAGTTCCTGTATCTCTTTGACTCTGCTTCATGTGTATCTATTTCTTTCCTGTATTGCTTATTCAAGGAATCCGTCATTTTTCTAATCTCTATTTTTTTTTTTTAATCACTGTCTTCTTTAGAAGCAGTTATTTATTCTTTTACTGAAGTGTTGTTTTCAGATTGGGATTCCTCTCTGTTTCTGTAGTTGATTCTTTACTTCATATGCTATGAGTTCAGAGGTTTCTTTTTTTATTTCAGAAAAGAATTTCGCTCTGAGTTTCTCTCTAGCTTTTTGCTGATGCTTATTTACTATCGACGCTATTCATACATGAGCTAGTAGAAAGGAATTCAGCTCTGAGTTCTTCTATAACTTTCTGTTGTTGCTTATTTACTGTTGATGCTATTAATTCATACATTTGAGCTGCACTTGTTACAGGTGGGAATTGGGTTTCCTCCATATGTTTCTGCATTTGATTATTTACTGCAGATGCTATTAATTCAGGGATTTCTTTTTTCATTTCCAATCTGAGTTCCTGTATACCTTTCTGCAATTGTTTCTTTATTTCAGAAGGTGTTGATTCATTGATTTCAGCTGTGTAATTCCCAATTTGTTCTGTGTTAGTATCCTCTGCACTTGTTATGGGTGGGCTTGGGGTCTGAGATTGCATTTTGCTCCTTCTCGTCATTTTCTGTAGCACTGTCTTCCGACCTTTGTTGTAGATCTTTGTTTCAGTCATAACCTTAGCACCTACTGAAATTCAGGTGCAGATCTACAAAGTTTGGATTTATCCAGCTGTGCCTGGCTTGGATCTGGCTGCTATGCTGAGCTCCTTCCTGCTTCTGCCCTTGGGAGTGAACCTGTTGTGCCCCTCTGGGAAGATGTTCTGCTCCTGGACTAGCTGGGTGGTTCTGTCCCCTCCTCTCTCTGCAGGGGTTGCAGCTGCAGTGTTTCACCCCAGGTCTATATGCCAGGCCTGGGCTGAGTCTGAAGGGTACAAGGTGGAGTAGGAGGGAGAGGAAGCTCTCCCACACACTCACTGCCTGGGCTAGGGGTGGATCAGAGGTCCCCAGAATGTGGCAAAAATTCTCACTGGGCAGGTGGGGTGGGGGTGGGTTGCTGCAGAGTGGTTATGGAGGTCCCAAGGGAAAGGAAGAGGGTCTCACCCATGCTGCGCCTGGGCTTGGACTGACAGGTCCTGCTGGCGCAGGGTAGCTGGAAGCTGTCCCACACACTTACTGGGGCCTGGGCTAGGACTGGGTCTCATACATTGCTAAATTTGGTTATTAAATATAGAAGTCTTTGTGTTGATCTTTTGGGTTCTTCTATGTAGAGTATCATGTAATCTGCAAAGAATGATAATTCCACTTATTCTATCCTTATTCCA